AGGCAGGTCAAGTGGAGGATCCAGAGAAAGACTCCTCTACGCAACAGGGAAAGACTTGGAGGCTGACTGAGCAAAGAGGGAAGGTTATTTCTAGATATATAAATTTTTGTTGTTTGCGTTGTTTTCCCTCCAGGCGTAACTAGGTGTAAAGAAGCCTCCATCACTGGGCTTTGGAAAGTCAAATGAAAATTATATATGGTGGCAGCCATCGATCCGCCTGGATCACGGCGTATGCACGGGAGCCACCCAAAAGTTTGATGCATATGCCAGGGCAGGCATTTTTGGAGGAGTGAAGGCTGCCTAGACCTTCCATGCCCCCTTTAGGCCAGTAAGACAGAATCCAAAGACCAGACTGAGTCCAGATGTTTAGTGCCTCCATGGCTGTAGCTGTTTAAGTGTCAGGGAATTGAACCCAGATCTCCTGTGTGGTAGACAAGGATTCTACCACTGAACCACAGGAGACACCCAAATAAAAATGATTACTTCTTGTTTTAAAACCATTTTCTCAGTTACAGAAGGCTGCTGCTTTCTTATATTTTTCACACACAGGTGGTCCCAAAAGGAGATAGTCCCTCAACTGCTAAGGGAGACACCGAAAGAGAAGGGTTAGACTCCAAGGACTCATGCTTATGATCTTAAGAAGCACATGAGAGGAAGGAATCCTCAGTCATTCTGGTGTACTACCAACGGGAGCACAGGGAATGTAGAAGATCAATGAGATGGACAGTCTACCAGGTGGTAATCCACCCAGCTAGCCAGGGCACCATGGTCAGCACTGTACATTAGCCACAAGTGAGCAGCAGTGTTCCTGCAGCTTAGTGTCAAAAAGGGACAGAGAAATCATTTAAAAGGCCAAGACAAGAGGTTTAAAAGATATAGCAAACTCAGTGCAGCAGGGGAATACACACAGTAGAAATCAGACAGGACCAAGAGATGGGGAAAAATCCTTGCTGCTTCCTCAAAAAGGCACACCACGTACAAATTAAACCTGCAACAAAGCAATGGCCAATAATCACCAATCAAGTCTTTTACCAAAACTGCCTTACATTTCATGTAGAAAAAGCAGCTTTAAGGAAGGCTACTGGAGAGACCAGCAGCCAAGATGAACAGGATCTCAAGAAAAGTAAAACTTTAAACCAGTAACCTGTACACAGCTCCCAGAAGTCCAAGCACTAGCATTTTGAGCCTAGTTTGCTCCCACACCTGCAGTTCTTGACAGCAACCCTTCCTGGGATTTCTATCTATCTCTGCATGAAACTATTTAAATGTTTGACCTATTAAACAATATAAAAAGGGGTCTGGGGCTGCAGGAACTTGGCCTGTCTATATTAAATCACTGTGCAATTCAAAGAGTTACCAGAAGATTAATGAGTGCCCTTGATCTTTACTTGGGGTCTCATGAAGGAACAATGACTTGCCAGGAACACTTCCAAAGAAAGCTTGGTATAGCCATTTCTGGCTCATAAAAAAAAAACCCCAATCAAGTGACACTGACACTCCAAGTCTACAAGATGTCCTGGCCAAAGGTTATTCTGTGCCTGAACAGTTTGTCCAACTAAAACATGGCAATCCAGATGCTTTACGAACAACCACTGAGGTTAAAACTCCAGTAATCCTTATAATGCTGTTGGAAGTCACCATTTGGCACCCTTACAGATGTCACAAGTTCTTTGACTAGAGACATGGGTAGAATTCAGCAAAACATTTTATTAGCCAATAGTTCACTGGGGGGGAGGGGGGAGAGGAATGGAGGGGAAGGGGAATGCATTTTTCCAAAGCTATTTGTGAATTAAACTCAGGTTTGCTAAATAGTTTCAACTGAGAAGACTTTAGTGAATCTAGAACCCTAAAGTGAAGGGGCATCACCTCCACCTTATGAGTGATTACAGCATTCACCTAGGACATGGGATACCTCATTTCTGTTCCCTTCCATGCCAAAGGGGTAAGTTTAAAAAAAAAAATCACCAAGCGATGAAATATTCTGGGGTAGGTGAGGGCTGTCCACATCCCATAAAGGTGGGAGTTTTGATTCGGGCATAAAAAAACTGGACATCTATTTCCCCTCTCTCAAGCGAGTGTCCTAATTACCAGTCTATAAAGGTATTCTGGAGGAGATCCTCCTTCAGCCTCTCAAAACTGTTCTGCTTTGTTACAGACAGTCATTGAGATACCCATGATTCTCTACCTGGGTAGTTAGGCCATTCAACTGGGGAAGAGCTCTACACAGTTTCCAATCCCTGTCCAGCAAATGTTAATTGGATGTTAGCGTAGTGGAACAATGCCACAGGAGACATCATACCCTGGAGTACCCAACAGGTTGGTGGTTAGGATATTTTCCTGGGAGATATAGGTTCATATTTCCTCAGGCAGAAAAGAGAATTAAATCCAGGTCTCCCAGTGCACTCCACTTGCCAAGCTATTGGATAGAACTGAATGACACTACCACCAGTTCTCAGTCAAGCCCCTTGTTAATTCAGTAGTGATAGAGATTAAGTGTTTTGACACCAAACAAAAGAACAAGAAGTTTCATCATCTTTTTTGCTGTGTGGGAGAGGAGGAAGAAACCTATTTAAATTCCATTCAATCCAAACTAAAATATTTCAATTTGCTGCTGAACCAGGAAGAGTAAAACCAGTTCTTGGAACAATAATAAAAGTAGCATAGGGGAGCAGGTAAAAGACCGGTCTTTTTGTCTGAATTCAAGTCATAAGATATGGGTCAAGCACAAAGGAGGTCATTTCCATGCGACATCAAGACAATCAGTATCCATCAGTTCTAGTAGTTACTTCCATGTAACTTTATCAAAACAAAGAGTGAATAACCAAATTAGAGAACTAAGGTATTTAGGAGTGGAGGTATTTGACATCTGTGAACTAATATCATCTCAGGTGACTTTAACCACATGGCCATTTGTTCTCAAGATGGTTTCTTCTCTGCCATGCCCATTATAATGGGCCACCTGCAGCAGATGTGCATTTCTTTAGATCCATTTCCTTCTGAACCTTACTGCCTAAAAATCAGCTCACAACTCAGCCAAGTTTAAGTCAGTTCAAACCTTCTGTATCAGTAGCCTCAAAACTATTTCAATACTGGTGTTTCTGTGGTATTTTCAGTTCTGAAAATTCCTCTCTGCCAATCATGCCAGTGCTATTTTGCAGCATGTTCAAAACAAGTTGCCTCCTAGAGAAATTAAGTGTCACAATATCAAACAAAAATGATTAAGTCTTAGTTTGATTTCTTAGGACTTTCATAGATAAACAAAAATACAAAATCATCATTTTATATACAATTATACTTTATTTAGAAAGGTAGCTGTACAAGTACAGGCACAGGATATTGACCCAGTGATTGTCTGGTATCAAATAGTTCCAGTCATGTTAAAAAATAGATAAAACTTTCGCAAATTAAAAAACATAAGGTTAAAGCCAACACCTTTAAAACAGGAAAAGGATCAAGTCTGGGAAAATTAAAAATGTCAATAGAGGTTTGGCTACAGCAGCATAAGACATAAAAAATGCTTCATATAAGCTGTGGTTGAAACGAGAACAGATAGATACCAAAGCAGATATATTACAGGCAAAAGAAAACTAAGTAATGCTGACCAGTGGCCAAATGGAAACTGGAGATCAACTGTGGTAACAGCAATATGGAAAATTAAAGTTCCATATGAACTTAATCATGGGAGCAGCTCAGTATACAATGTTTTGGAGATAGATTTTTCCAGGTGTTTATGACTGTAGCCCTACTAAGACAAAAATGTTCTGTCTACATTATGAGGTGACTTCAAGCCCTGTCCCATAGCTGAACAGAATAGTGATGAACAATTTCATTATTTTTACTGGCTAAATTAAGCTGTTGGCTCTTGTGCTGCAAAATAAGTTAGATGTGAAATAAAAAAGGTGGAGTAGGTTTTCTTACATTCTTAGGGCATAGAAACCGTTACAACCTGGAAGGGAGGGAAAGGGCCTAACCACTTGCAAGTTTGTCAGTTGATTCATTTTACCCGTTTCATCCATCTGCTCCTATGGCAAGGTAATTTAACACCATTTCATTATCAGCTAAGCTGTCCCAATTTAACTTCCACTTGCCATGGGATAAGAATGGATAGACAAAACAGGTAAAAACAGATGGAGGTGAACCACAGCAAATCTTCCCCCTTGTAGGAGAACATGGTTGTTTACCTTACTCCACATTAGGAATGCACATAGAAACAAACTTAGTGTGGAAAAATTGACCTGGAATAACAGTTCTACACTATCTCCACTGTAGACCATGTCCCAGGACTATTATGGGTCAGATGGCACAATATTACCATAGCCTAGCAGTTAGTACAAAGGATGAATTCACAAAGTCTTTAGCAAGTCACAATCTGTGCTGGAACTTCTTATCTATAAAGCAAGGATAGTAGATACCTACTCACCTTTGCAAAGAGCTTTGAGACCAATGGATAAAGAGGGCCTTATGAAAGCTCAGTTTTGGAAGTGACTGAGCAATTTTGGAATTACTCTGAAATCAGTGGGAATTAGCAACATGCAGCACCTTGCTAGATCTGCCGCCAGGGGTCAAGTACTTTTATTATTCCGTGCACCAGCCCTTAACTTCTGGGAACCTACTGGGGTGAAAACCAAGGCTGGCTCAGTTCACAAGCAACAGTGAGTTTGGTTACCTTAGCTCCTTGTGGGCTATGGTACTCCAACAGCATCCATACAAGACAAAACCATCGCTGTTCTTCAAGAGCCAGAGGAGCAGTGTTGTCCACCAACATTAAGAGTCTCAATCTTGTTTGCATAGATAAGTATAAACACAAAACAAAGCTACCCACCTGTGGAAGGGTACCCCCTTTAGTGGAGTCATTATTGAACGCCATTCTTACTAGCATCACCAGGTTTAGAAGCAAGCCAGAGCCCAACCCTGTATGCACTGCATAGGCCAAACTCCAACTAACTGAAGAGACAGTATAGGATTGGGTCCATACTTCGCATACAATTAAGGAATTTTACCTCACTAAGTTGGCACAAGGTCCTGGCCACCGGCAGCTCTGATAAACTCTCTGGATCACGGTTTCTGACCCATTCTGCACTTGACAGGAAACAGTCCGTGTAACAGTGTAGTGACACCAATGCCTGCAGAAAACACAAAACAAAATGACAAGTTAAATCCCAGTAATGCAGCAAGCAGAACTATGAACTGCCAGTCCCACACACCCTTCATCAATTAACTTGTTTCAAGTCACACTGGTCCCAAATTTGCAACCTTTAAAAGTACAGCTTCTATGTGGGAAAATCCCAGCTTCGGCTAGAGAAAGAAGCTAGAGATGGAAGAGAATTAATACATCTTGCCTGCTCCACAAAGGCCAGATTATTCATTCTTCTTCAAACATCTCCCTAACAGTTTCCAAGTATTCAATCTTGATTTTGCATACTTTAAGTGAAATTAAGTAGGAATTACTTCTGGCATTATCCCTTTGCCCCTTACCACTCTGAACAATTCTATTTGTTAAGAATGACACTTTCCAAAGCTTAGTGAATTTTATTAGCAGTATACGCTGGTCATAATAGAAGCCCCAACTAAAACAGAGGCCCCATTGCCCTGCTGTCCCTGGATCATGCGGGTGGCCCTCCTCTGGACCCTCTCAATGCTGTCCACATCCCTCCTGAAGTGCGGCGCCCAGAACTGAACACAGTACTCCAGCTACAAAGTACTCCAGATGGGAAGCCAAGGAATAGAGCAAGACATGCAAGAGGTCTGTGCTAGTGATAGAGACAGATATTGAACCAAAACACAGCCTAGGAACCCAATCTGTAGAGCACTCTTTCTCCCCTCAGACACATAATGGTCAATCAGACTGTTCACTGCTACAAAAAATTAATTAAGACAGACACTCACATCCAGCCAAGCAGCCCCTCTGTAGGAAGTATAAAATTGTGCTAGCAAAGCTTGTGTCTGCAACTAAACAAAGCAACAGATTTGTGACTTTAGACCTCCCACTAGACTATGGACACTGTCAGGAGCAGCAGGTGGAAGTATCTGCATTTCCACCATGTTCTGAATACACCAGCCACACCCACCAAACCCCCTGGGCCTCAGCTACACTAAGACCAGGCACCCAGTGGAACCAATGCCTTGTTCTGCCACTATTAGGTAAGGGCTCCCAACCTCTTTTGTTGAAATAACTTTGCCACTTAACCCAGCCTTCTTTGTAGCTTTCTAATTTTCTAATGGCTTAGCCCTCTCAGTTTCTGCTCCATCTTCCCTTTCTGATCTTCCTCCCCAGCGGTGACACATAGGAGGTGCACGTGCACCCCCTGAGAGTGCCGGTGCACCCCCTGACAGGCCATGCTCACTGCTTAGCTGGTGGGAGCACCAGTTTCCCCACTTCAAGCACCGGCTGGGGAGCAGGGCCACCAGCAAAAGCGACTGTGTCGCTTCCAGTAATGGCTGCAGGACTTCCAGAAGATTGGGAGCAGGGAATCCCCCAATTAGTGCGATCAGCCACCGGAGGACCCCTCCTCCCCCAGTCGCTGACTGGTGTCGGGCGGGGGAGCACGTGCCCCCCCAACTCAAGAGGCACCAGTCACCCATGTTCCTCCCCGCTCGCCAAAACTAGAGGCAACTCCATAGCTTGACAGACTCATGCTGCACAGTCAAACACTGCAGGATCATGGCAGTGACACTAGAGACATGAATGACTCATGCCTCCTGAGGCGCGGACAGTGGCGGGGGAGTGGTGGTGGTGAGCAGGGACCGCCAACAGGCGGCCGTGGTGACCTCAGCAGCAAGGGCGGGCCAAGAGGGGACCACCCACAGGTGGCTGCGGTGACATTGAGAGCGAGGGCAGGCCGAGTGAGAACCACCCATGGGTGGCCCTGGCAGTGTCAGAGGTGAGGGGGGGAGGGGGTGGCAAGTGGCAACCGCCCACAGATGCCAACAGCAGCAGCAGCCAATCTTGGGGGGAGCACCCCCACCGCTACGCATCACCTATGACTGCGGGCAATCAGCTGCCAATCAAAAAGTTCCCAGACATGAGTGGGGTGCCCTTTTTATATGCAATCACTGTAAGCCAGCAGGGTGAAGACATTGGTTTTCAAAGGTACCCACAGCTTTACTGGCCACCAAAAGGTACCCCCAAATCATAGATTTCCCACAAACAGTACTACCTCACTTCACTTTGGGCTTGCATGCCACTTTCTAATCAAGGGAACAGACCCCATTGGGAATTGTCAGTCAAACAGAGCATTTCCCAGACCTACAAAGAACCTGGAGTCATTGCTTTCAAAACTTTAGGGGTTTGCAGTGTATATTTTCAGCTCTGTTTTTTTTTTTTTTTTTATGGTCTGACTCAAATGGTTATTAACATGACGTGGTGCCATCAGGCCCCATCTCTGGACACTGCAGGGCTCCAATGTGGGAAGGTGTACGGTGGTTTCATACCCAGCTGTCAGGGTAAAGGCTTCTTGCCAGGAAGTCTTGGGAATAGAAGAGCAATTTGGGAGAAACTAAGCAGGAAACTATGTTAAAGATTTAAATGAAGAGATTATATTTGTTTGTATTGCCATATGCAGTGAAATACTGCACACAGGACAAAACTGATTTCATGGCAATAAAACTAGTAAGATCAAGGTTGTGTCAATATTACTAGGAGTGACACAACTTTGACCACATTGGCCAGAACATTTTAAGATGCATGTGTGTAGGTTGCAGAAGTGTTATTCCAAGTAAATTACTGCTTGTGCTTAGCAAGCATCCTGCTTCATAAATACATACAGCA